TGCAAAAAAATATTTATTATTTTTTTGAAAAAATTAAAATTTCCACAAACTTTGTGGAACAACAATTTTGGCACAAAACCAAAAAAATTAATTACATGAATTTTTTTTAATTTATTTTAAGTAAATTAAAATTTTTTTTTTCTAAAATTTACCATTTAGTATATTCCCTTTAGCTTTGAGCATGTCTTTAATTTGTTGAGGCATCATGTTAATTAGCTTTAAAACATAATTGTAATCAATCTCATTTCACACCTTTTGGATCTTATTCTACAGGTCTGTTTCACTAGAAATATTACCAGAAAGTTGCCACAAACAACAATCAACTTCATCCTATAAATGCTCTATAGGATTTAGATCGGGGGAGTACAGCAGCCAATCCAAGACTTTGATTCCTTTTTCATCCAACCAGTTGGTAACTATATCTGCCGTATGTTTGCAGTCATTATTATGTTGGAAAATAAAATCATCATTTGTCAAATGCCATGTCTGCAACATCCTAATTAACTCATCTTTTAAAATTTCATGATATAACTTCTTATTCATATTTCCCTCAATCCTACAATAGTTTCCAACACCGTACATACCCATACAGCCCCATACCATTACAGACCCCCACCATATTTTACCGTCGGCTTTATGTGTTGCGGTAACAATGGCGAATTTGGGTCTTTTCAACACCATTCTCTTCCATCCGAACCAAAATCTTGAACTTTGATTCGTCCGAAAAAATCACCTTTTGCCAATCCTTGACGGTCCAATAGCAATATTTTTTTGTGAATTCTCTTCGCAATTTTTTGGTCTGTAGTAGAAGTAGAGGTTTTTTTTCTTTACCCAAGATTCAAGCCTTGTCTCCATAGTGCGGGTGGATTGTATTTGTGGAAACACAAACACCTTCGTCAGATTTTAATTTTTTTTGGGCTTGGACGGCAGTTTGGCATGTACCTGACCTAAATTCCCTGGCTATTCTTCTTTTGTGGTGGGTGGTAAGTATTCTGGGGCAGCCTGGCCTTGGTAAAACATCCAAGCAACCAGTTTGCTTCTTTAAATTTTTTATTCTTAAGACCGTACTATGGCTTACTTTTTCATGAAAAGCAATAGTACGGCTGGAGTAACCTTCTTCAAGAAGGGTGAAAATATGGTTTCTTTTTGATATTGGAATCGTTTTCATAGTTATAATAAGTTAGCTTGCATACTTACTATTACTAATCGAGAAAGTATTTATACATTTTTGGCATTGATATGTCATAAATGCATATTTATTTTACTTACATAATTATGCCATAATTATTGCACCATATGAAAAGTGCATAATCGGGATTTTCTAAAAAGCCCGCATAATAAGTGTTAACCAAAATTGGTTATATTAAAGTCTAAGCCGGAGGGTTTACATCACCTAAATTTGCCGTTCATATGACTTATAGAAAGTAAGATATCGTGACCTAAATAAAAAAAAGAAGTGGAACAATAATTATGATAGTCAGTGTAATTAAAATTTTGAGTTATTGCCGATTTTTTTAAAAAAAGTAACTTTTGTTTTGATTTTGCGTTACACCTGATCTTAAAATTTGATTGGCTTATTATTATAGGATGTGGCTACAGTAAAACTTACAAAACAAGTACCAAACAAATAATTTCCTTAGTTTACGAGTTACTGTGAGACAGGCAGGTGAGAGTGGAACGAAAGAGCCTGACTGCACTACGAAGCGAGTGATAGCGAAAAGAAACATAACTTCTTTTATTGCACAAACGTCCTTAAATACCAATACCCTTGCACTTGTAATAAGACAATCTCATCCTCCTGTGTTACTAATTACATATTTTGAACCATATCTATATGATTACCCTTTGCTTCTCAACAATTATATTCAATCACAATATTAACCAGAAAAATACCTGCGCACAACAAGATACTATACACAAACCGATAAATTGAACACGTGAAACTATAAAGTCATCTGATCTCGCAATAATGGTCGCTTTGCCATTTCGTTGACAAATTTCTCATATACATCTATATATATATAATTTTAATTGAACGCACCCCAACGCACACAACTACAGTCAGACCTCTCTAAGTGCACCCTCTATAAGTGCACACCCTCTCTAAATGCACGCTCAGATTCTGGCCCAAATATACACTTGACCTCTATAAATGCACTTTTCTTATTATTCTCTAAATGCACGTCGTTAAAGTGTGGTCCCAAGGGCGTGCACTTAGAGAGGTCTGACTGTAATTGTAAATGAAGCTAATTTGTAATTAAGGATATATAATTGTCGCGTAAAGTTATGCAATAAACCTAGTAAGAAATAGTGAAAGAAAGAACGTAATAAACATTTTTAGCAATTATGAAGTATAAATTAACCTATCTATTTGTTTCATTATATTTTTGCATTTGACAACAAAGTCATAAAGATTTATATAATAGAATAATTGAAGTGGCGAATAATGATTATATAAAAACTCAACAATAACGTTCATGGTCTAAAGAATTGTGTTCACTAATTTTCCACCACTTCACCAGCGTAGTAATAACATAGATACTCCAATATGTAAATAATTAATTGAAGTAGTAGAAGTGGTGGAGAAAAATTAGTAAACCCAATGAATTAACTACATTAAATAATTCAATAAACACGACATTTGCTAAATTGATGATCAATATTAGATTTCAGGACGTATTTTATCAGGGCTGTGTATCATATCAATATATTTATCAACATGCATCATTGTTTTCAAAGGCTGATAAAAATTTTTCAAACATTGAATAACAAATCATTTATTAACAAAATATTAGTATATATAAATTCAAACACAAACGGAAATTTCATATTGAATTTTGTGTCTTTCGAATGGAATTATCATTCATCCAATTTATTATTCTTATGCACCTAAAATGAGTTCATCAAGATCCGAAGAACTGCGAATAGATATAGGTGAAGACGATTGTCACGCGCCTCACGGAGGAAAGAAAATAAGTAAATATGTTTTTTCACCAAATATGAAATATATTGTAACCTGGAGTAATGAAAATGAAACAATTGTTGGATGGACTATCTCTGAAGGACTTGAAATTGAACATGATGATTCAATAAGCGCTGAAGAACTTGAAATAATTGTGTTAAAAGATGAAAATACATATAAATATAAAGGATATGAATTAATAGGTGTCTCAAACTGTAAAAAATTATACTAAAATTAAATAGAGCAGTTCCTTATGGTTTTGGTTAGCTTCAATTAATTTAAACGTTAATGCTTTAATTTTAATTTATATTAAAAAATTTATTTCATCAGAAATTATTGACATTACAACTAAGAGGAGACAAAGATTAAATGCACAAGGATTAAAGGGATATTTATTTACTAATGAGTGTGTTACCTTTCTTGAAAACGGAGATTTGGCAATTGTCAAAAGCAATCCCGTTTATTGGGCCTATATCTTTTCAAAGTTTAATGGCAAACAACAATG